TTGGTCAGTATATCAGCAGTTAGTAAAGATCGGTCAGTACATCTGTGGTTTGTAAAGATTGGTCAGTACATCTGTGGTTTGTAAAGATCGGTCAGTACATCTGTGGTTTGTAAAGATTGGTCAGTATATCAGCAGTTAGTAAAGATCGGTCAGTACATCTGTGGTTTGTAAAGATCGGTCAGTACATCTGTGGTTTGTAAAGATCGGTCAGTACATCTGTGGTTTGTAAAGATTGGTCAGTATATCAGCAGTTAGTAAAGATCGGTCAGTACATCTGTGGTTTGTAAAGATTGGTCAGTACATCTGTGGTTTGTAAAGATTGCGTCAGTATATCAGCAGTTAGTAAAGATTGGTCAGTACATCTGTGGTTTGTAAAGATCGGTCAGTACATCTGTGGTTTGTAAAGATTGGTCAGTACATCTGTGGTTTGTAAAGATTGGTCAGTACATCTGTGGTTTGTAAAGATTGGTCAGTACATCTGTGGTTTGTAAAGAATGGCCAGTATATCTGTGGTTTGTAAAGATTGGTCAGTACATCTGTGGTTTGTAAAGATTGGTCAGTACATCTGTGGTTTGTAAAGATTGGTCAGTATATCAGTGGTTAGTAAAGATCGGTCAGTACATCTGTGGTTTGTAAAGATCGGTCAGTACATCTGTGGTTTGTAAAGATCGGTCAGTACATCTGTGGTTTGTAAAGATTGGTCAGTATATCTGCAGTTTAGTAAAGATCGGTCAGTACATCTGTGGTTTGTAAAGATCGGTCAGTACATCTGTGGTTTGTAAAGATCGGTCAGTACATCTGTGGTTTGTAAAGATTGGTCAGTATATCAGCAGTTAGTAAAGATTGGTCAGCATCTGTGGTTTGTAAAGATCTGTGGTTTGGTCAGTACATCTGTGGTTTGTAAAGATTGGTCAGTACATCTGTGGTTTGTAAAGATCGGTCAGTACATCTGTGGTTTGTAGAGCTTGGTCAGTACATCTGTGGTTTGTAAAGATTGGCCAGTACATTTGTGGTTTGTAAAGAATGGCCAGTATATCTGTGGTTTGTAAAGATTGGTCAGTACATCTGTGGTTTGTAAAGATTGGTCAGTACATCTGTGGTTTGTAAAGATTGGTCAGTACATCTGTGGTTAGTAAAGATCGGTCAGTACATCTGTGGTTTGTAAAGATCGGTCAGTACATCTGTGGTTTGTAAAGATCGGTCAGTACATCTGTGGTTTGTAAAGATTGGTCAGTATATCAGCAGTTAGTAAAGATCGGTCAGTACATCTGTGGTTTGTAAAGATCGGTCAGTACATCTGTGGTTTGTAAAGATCGGTCAGTACATCTGTGGTTTGTAAAGATTGGTCAGTATATCAGCAGTTTGTAAAGATCGGTCAGTACATCTGTGGTTTGTAAAGATTGGTCAGTACATCTGTGGTTTGTAAAGATCGGTCAGTACATCTGTGGTTTGTCGGTCAGTACATCTGTGGTTTGTAAAGATTGGTCAGTACATCTGTGGTTTGTAAAGATCGGGTGGTCAGTACATCTGTGGTTTGTAAAGATTGGTCAGTACATCTGTGGTTTGTAAAGATTGGTCAGTACATCTGTGGTTTGTAAAGATTGGTCAGTATATCAGCAGTTAGTAAAGATCGGTCAGTACATCTGTGGTTTGTAAAGATCGGTCAGTACATCTGTGGTTTGTAAAGATCGGTCAGTACATCTGTGGTTTGTAAAGATTGGTCAGTATATCAGCAGTTAGTAAAGATCGGTCAGTACATCTGTGGTTTGTAAAGATCGGTCAGTACATCTGTGGTTTGTAAAGATCGGTCAGTACATCTGTGGTTTGTAAAGATTGGTCAGTATATCAGCAGTTAGTAAAGATCGGTCAGTACATCTGTGGTTTGTAAAGATTGGTCAGTACATCTGTGGTTTGTAAAGATTGCTCAGTATATCAGCAGTTAGTAAAGATTGGGCAGTACATCTGTGGTTTGTAAAGATCGGTCAGTACATCTGTGGTTTGTAAAGATTGGTCAGTACATCTGTGGTTTGTAAAGATTGGTCAGTACATCTGTGGTTTGTAAAGATTGGTCAGTACATCTGTGGTTTGTAAAGATTGGTCAGTATATCTGTGGTTTGTAAAGATCGGTCAGTACATCTGTGGTTTGTAAAGATTGGTCAGTACATCTGTGGTTTGTAAAGATTGGTCAGTACATCTGTGGTTTGTAAAGATCGGTCAGTACATCTGTGGTTTGTAAAGATTGGCCAGTACATCTGTGGTTTGTAAAGATTGGTCAGTACATCTGTGGTTTGTAAAGATTGGCCAGTACATCTGTGGTTTGTAAAGATTGGTCAGTACATCTGTGGTTTGTAAAGATCGGTCAGTACATCTGTGGTTTGTAAAGAGTTGGTCAGTACATCTGTACATTTGTAAAGATTGGCCAGTACATTTGTGGTTTGAAAAGAATGGCCAGTATATCTGTGGTTTGTAAAGATTGGTCAGTATATCTGTGGTTTGTAAAGATTGGTCAGTACATCTGTGGTTTGTAAAGATTGGTCAGTATATCAGCGGTTAGTAAAGATCGGTCAGTACATCTGTGGTTTGTAAAGATTGGTCAGTATATCAGTGGTTTGTAAAGATCGGTCAGTACATCTGTGGTTTGTAAAGATTGGTCAGTACATCTGTGGTTTGTAAAGATTGGTCAGTATATCAGCAGTTAGTAAAGATTGGTCAGTACATCTGTGGTTTGTAAAGATCGGTCAGTACATCTGTGGTTTGTAAAGATTGGTCAGTACATCTGTGGTTTGTAAAGATCTTGGTCAGTACATCTGTGGTTTGTAAAGATTGGTCAGTACATCTGTGGTTTGTAAAGATTGGCCAGTACATCTGTGGTTTGTAAAGATTGGTCAGTATATCAGCAGTTAGTAAAGATCGGTCAGTACATCTGTGGTTTGTAAAGATTGGTCAGTACATCTGTGGTTTGTAAAGATCGGTCAGTACATCTGTGGTTTGTAAAGATTGGTCAGTATATCAGCAGTTAGTAAAGATCGGTCAGTACATCTGTGGTTTGTAAAGATCGGTCAGTACATCTGTGGTTTGTAAAGATCGGTCAGTACATCTGTGGTTTGTAAAGATTGGTCAGTATATCAGCAGTTAGTAAAGATCGGTCAGTACATCTGTGGTTTGTAAAGATTGGTCAGTACATCTGTGGTTTGTAAAGATTGCTCAGTATATCAGCAGTTAGTAAAGATTGGGCAGTACATCTGTGGTTTGTAAAGATCGGTCAGTACATCTGTGGTTTGTAAAGATTGGTCAGTACATCTGTGGTTTGTAAAGACCTGTCAGTACATCTGTGGTTTGTAGAGCTTGGTCAGTACATCTGTGGTTTGTAAAGAATGGCCAGTATATCTGTGGTTTGTAAAGATTGGTCAGTACATCTGTGGTTTGTAAAGATTGGTCAGTACATCTGTGGTTTGTAAAGATTGGTCAGTATATCAGTGGTTAGTAAAGATCGGTCAGTACATCTGTGGTTTGTAAAGATCGGTCAGTACATCTGTGGTTTGTAAAGATCGGTCAGTACATCTGTGGTTTGTAAAGATTGGTCAGTATATCAGCAGTTAGTAAAGATCGGTCAGTACATCTGTGGTTTGTAAAGATCGGTCAGTACATCTGTGGTTTGTAAAGATCGGTCAGTACATCTGTGGTTTGTAAAGATTGGTCAGTATATCAGCAGTTAGTAAAGATCGGGTCAGTACATCTGTGGTTTGTAAGAGATCTGTGGTTTGTAAAGATTGGTCAGTACATCTGTGGTTTGTAAAGATCGGTCAGTACATCTGTGGTTTGTAAAGATCGGTCAGTACATCTGTGGTTTGTAAAGATTGGTCAGTACATCTGTGGTTTGTAAAGATTGGCCAGTACATTTGTGGTTTGAAAAGATTGGCCAGTATATCTGTGGTTTGTAAAGATTGGTCAGTATATCTGTGGTTTGTAAAGATTGGTCAGTACATCTGTGGTTTGTAAAGATTGGTCAGTATATCAGTGGTTAGTAAAGATCGGTCAGTACATCTGTGGTTTGTAAAGATCGGTCAGTACATCTGTGGTTTGTAAAGATCGGTCAGTACATCTGTGGTTTGTAAAGATTGGTCAGTATATCAGCAGTTAGTAAAGATCGGTCAGTACATCTGTGGTTTGTAAAGATTGGTCAGTACATCTGTGGTTTGTAAAGATCGGTCAGTACATCTGTGGTTTGTAAAGATTGGTCAGTATATCAGCAGTTAGTAAAGATCAGTCAGTACATCTGTGGTTTGTAAAGATCGGGTCAGTACATCTGTGGTTTCGGTCAGTACATCTGTGGATTGGTTTGTAAAGATTGCTCAGTATATCAGTGGTTAGTAAAGATTGGTCAGTACATCTGTGGTTTGTAAAGATCGGTCAGTACATCTGTGGTTTGTAAAGATTGGTCAGTACATCTGTGGTTTGTAAAGATCGGTCAGTACATCTGTGGTTTGTAAAGATCAGTACATCTGTGGTCAGTACATCTGTGGTTTGTAAAGATCGGTCAGTACATCTGTGGTTTGTAAACATTGTCCAGTACATCTGTGGTTTGTAAAGATTGGTCAGTACATCTGTGGTTTGTAAAGATTGGTCAGTACATCTGTGGTTTGTAAAGACCGGTCAGTACATCTGTGGTTTGTAAAGATCGGTCAGTACATCTGTGGTTTGTAAAGATTGGGCAGTACATCTGTGGTTTGTAAAGATTGGTCAGTACATCTGTGGTTTGTAAAGCTTGGCCAGTGCATCTGTGGTTTGTAAAGATCGGTCAGTACATCTGCGGTTTGTACAGATCGGTCAGTACATCTGTGGTTTGTAAAGATTGGTGAGTACATCTGTGGTTTGTAAAGATTGTCACTTGTATGACCAGGGTGGCTTGTGTGAATATCATTTTACTGCACTTAAGCTGAAGTTACTTGCGTGTCATGTCATAATTGACATGGAGATAATGTTGCAACGATAAGTCTTACCTCCAGGATGGCTTGAACAGCAAAACTAGCATCCCAGAGCTGTGAGCCATTGGTTCCCTGTCAAGTTGTGGAGTGAGTGAGTGAGTGATATTGATATGATATACAATTTTCACCTCTTTACACATATTAAGCTGGACACATGAAACACCTGATGTGAAGGTGTCACTGAGTCGTTAGAAACAATGTGGATTTAATAACAATAATAACACATAAAATTTGAACTAAAACACTCTCAGGGTCTTTACATAAAGAGTCACAAATGCAACCGAGTGTAGGGTGATTTAAAGAGACGGGTTTTTACGACCTTATTAAAAATGTAACAAGATGTTGAGGTTCTGAGGGTAGATGGTAGATCATTTTACACTGTTGCTGCAATCTTGTTGAAGCATCTGTCACCTTACATTACAGTTCATGTTTTGGGCACAGTGATTAGAGATGAAGATTGTGATCAATGAGATTGCGATGGCTCAAAAGCAATGACGAGCTCCTTGAGATATGTTGGAGCAGTGTTATGCAAGGCCTTGTACAGGTACATCAAGATCTGGTACTGACACTGGAGGTGAACTAGCAGCCAATGTTCTTCAGGGTCGGTGTGATATTGTCACATTTACGTGCAAGTTGTGAGTTGCGCTGCACTGTTCTGTACTCTATGTAGGCAGTCTGTGAGAGACTCTGGTAGTCCACACAGTAGAGCGTTACCATAGTCCAATGAGTTGCGCTGCACTGTTCTGTACTCTCTGTAGGCAGTCTCTGAGAGACTCTGGTAGTCCACACAGTAGAGCGTTACCATAGTCCAATGAGCTGCACTGTTCTGTACTCTCTGTAGGCAGTCTGTGAGAGACTCTGGTAGTCCACACAGTAGAGCGTTACCATAGTCCAATGAGTTGCGCTTGCACTGTTCTGTACTCTCTGTAGGCAGTCTGTGAGAGACTCTGGTAGTCCACACAGTAGAGCGTTACCATAGTCCAATGAGCTGCACTGTTCTGTACTCTCTGTAGGCAGTCTGTGAGAGACTCTGGTAGTCCACAGTAGAGCGCTACCATAGTCCAATGAGTTGCTCTTCACTGTTCTGTACTCTCTGTAGGCAGTCTGTGAGAGACTCTGGTAGTCCACACAGTAGAGCGCTACCATAGTCCAAATGAGTTGCGCTGCACTGTTCTGTACTCTCTGTAGGCAGTCTGTGAGAGACTCTGGTAGTCCACACAGTAGAGCTGCTACCATAGTCCAATGAGTTGGCGCTTCTGCACTGTTCTGTACTCTCTGTAGGCAGTCTGTGAGAGACTCTGGTAGTCCACACAGTAGAGCGTTACCATAGTCCAATGAGTTGCGCTGCACTGTTCTGTACTCTCTGTAGGCAGTCTGTGAGAGACTCTGGTAGTCCACACAGTAGAGCGTTACCATAGTCCAATGAGTTGCGCTGCACTGTTCTGTACTCTCTGTAGGCAGTCTGTGAGAGACTCTGGTAGTCCACACAGTAGAGCGTTACCATAGTCCAATGAGTTGCTCTTCACTGTTCTGTACTCTCTGTAGGCAGTCTGTGAGAGACTCTGGTAGTCCACACAATCGAGCATTACCATAGTCCAGTCTTGACGTGATAAGTGAATGGACCAAGGTTAACGTTCTGCAGGTGTCCTCTGTAAGATATTGTCTGATGGTGCCAAGATTCTTGATCAGGTAGAAGCAGGATTTAGAAACAGCATTGACCTGGTTCTCCATTTTCAGACAACTGTCAAAATACACATCAAGATTCTCCTGAGTCAACAGCATGGATGGTGTTTCTGCCATGTCATCACTTGCTTGACAGCGACATTACAATCTATGTTGAAACATCGCCTTTCACAGAGTAAAGAAGTTGTATATCCATTCAAAAGTATCATCATTCTGCCAAACTGTACCTCAAGCTCTTGGGTGTTACTAGTCTTGGGTGTTACTAGTCTTGGGTGTTACTAGTCTTGGGTCTAGAGATTATGAGTTCTATTTAATCCTAACTTAATTTCAGCATGTTGGCACTTGTCCAATAGTTGATATCAGTTAGAAATGCCTCCAATCTGCGATGGCACTCTCCCAGTTATTGCAAGGTGGTATAACTTTGTAAATCTGTTTGTCATCTGCATAGACAAGGTATGGTAGATCATAACGGCGACATATTTCACCAATGGGCTTAGAATATAGGCAATCGAGGACTGGTCCAGTATGGATGCTTGTGGTATGCCAGAGTTGAGACATTTTTCCCCTTAACAGGATGATCCTATTGCCACTGCTGAAGTGCTTTACGAGCACCAGAGCCAGGATGATCCTATTGCCACTGCTGAAGTGCTTTACGAGCACCAGAGCCAGGATGATCCTATTGCCACTGCTGAAGTGCTTTACGAGCACCGGAGCCAGGATGATCCTATTGCCACTGCTGAAGTGCTTTACGAGCACCGGAGCCAGGATGATCCTATAGCCACTGCTGAAGTGCTTTACGAGCACCGGAGCCAGGATGATCCTATAGCCACTGCTGAAGTGCTTTACGAGCACCGGAGCCAGGATGATCCTATAGCCACTGCTGAAGTGCTTTACGAGCACCGGAGCCAGGATGATCCTATAGCCACTGCTGAAGTGCTTTACGAGCACCGGAGCCAGGATGATCCTATAGCCACTGCTGAAGTGCTTTTACGATGAGCCAGGATGATCCTATAGCCACTGCTGAAGTGCTTTACGAGCACCAGAGCCAGGATGATCCTATTGCCACTGCTGAAGTGCTTTACGAGCACCAGAGCCAGGATGATCCTATAGCCACTGCTGAAATGCTTTACGAGCACCAGAGCCAGGATGATCCTATTGCCACTGCTGAAGTGCTTTACGAGCACCGGAGCCAGGATGATCCTATAGCCACTGCTGAAATGCTTTACGAGCACCGGAGCCAGGATGATCCTATAGCCACTGCTGAAGTGCTTTACGAGCACCAGATCCAGGATGATCCTATTGCCACTGCTGAAATGCTTTACAAGCACCGGAGCCAGGATGATCCCATTGCCACTGCTGAAATGCTTTACGAGCACCAGAGCCAGGATGACAATGTTTCAGTTGCACTCGGTTCTGCCATGAACTTCTGACTTATTGCCTTTAGTGACATTTTGATGTGGATCCTTCAGCTCGAGTTACACCTGTAAGACATGCAACCTGGAATTCAGAACTGATGAACTGACTCACTCTGGACAGGTGTAATTCTAAATACGAGGTCAGGTTCTAAATATGAGGAAATATGAAACTTACATTCATCTTCATCCCGTCCAGACCCAACCTGAACACAAAAACCAAACAGAATATTGTGAGTATTAACAACAACAACAATGACGACAACAGCAAGGTGGATGACAACGAGGACAGCAATAACTACTGGACCTAACATCTACAAGAAAAACAAATTGAGACAGAACTGTACAGTGTGCAAAAACCAGCAGATCACATTTATCAACTGTGTGTAGGCAGAACAATGAGAGACACATATTCCTGCTGATCACATTTATCATCCTGTGTGTAGGCAGAACAATGAGAAACACATATTCCTGCTGATCACATTTATCATCCTGTGTGTAGGCAGAACAATGAGAAACACATATTCCTGCTGATCACATTTATCATCCTGTGTGTAGGCAGAACAATGGGAGACACATATTCCTGCTGATCACATTTATCAACCTGTGTGTAGGCAGAACAATGCGAGACACATATTCCTGCAGATCACATTTAGCAACCATGTGCGATGGATCTTGCACTTATACTTCAGAAATGTCAAAATATTCTTCAGAAAATACACAGTTTGCCCTTTCAACAGTTCCTTTCCAAATAATTTCTTATACAATTCACTATTTTGTACCATTATTTAATTCTCTCTTGTTTTCACGCCCTGTATTTGTCAACACATTTTTATGAGATGTTATAAGAGCAGGGAGATGCACCGTAAGGCAATCATTTAAACAAACTTAGTTTCTGGATTCAGGGCTCGAAATTCCACTCGTCCGCTCGTATTGATGAGTAAAATTTGTTTCGGGCAAGTGAAAAACATAATTTGCTCGTCCTAGAGGACGAGTACGTTTTCTGACCGAACTATTTTTCAAAACCAGAAGTTTAAGTTTTAACATTGTCATTCCCGATTAGCAGTATTATCAAATTCCCCGAAAACTAACCGCAAAGTTTAAGTCTTGATGTGCGTTTGGTATCCATTTTAGACAGATATCATGCAGCCTGGTTTTGTAACCTAAATGCTGCAAATTTCGTGATTGGCTGCTATTAATAAACTGACCAATGAGAAAAATCATCACAACATAATAAGCTTCATAATAGGGAATTCCCTGCTTGTTACTACTGATCATTTATCGTAGTCAACTTTTGGGTGATGATTTGTTCTTATTATTATACATAGGTAATTTCCAGGTTAGATAAAATACTTGATATATTTTACCACACACACTAAACTGACAATTAGATTAAGGAAAGATTTTGCACAGAAGACAATGTAAATTATGTTTATGGTAGTTTTATTCCAACCAAACATTTTGAAATAAAATAATTTTGATTTACATTCATTGTGTTGCATGATCTATAGGGCAAGTACAGTTTTAGAAGGACGAGTGGAAAGTTCATATTACTCGCCCAGGGCGAGTACAGAATTTTTCAAGCCCTGCCAACACTTAAAACAGGAAAGTGGAAAGGAATTATTCTAAGAAGCAAATTAAGTGGACTTCCAATGGAGGGATGACACTATCTTGCTTCTGTGAGTGTCACTGGATACAGAAGGTGCCAACCACAGAAAGTCCTTGACCTGTCCCATATTTACTGGGTACAGAAGGTGCCTACCACAGATAGTCCCTGACCTGTCCCATATTTACTGGATACGCACGGTGCCAACCACAGATAGTCCTTGCCCTGTCCTATTTTTACTGGATATGCAAGGGGCCTTCCACAGATAGTCCTTGACCTGTCCCATATTTACTGGATACACAAGGTGCCTTCCACAGACAGTCCTTGACCTGTCCCATATTTACTGGATACGCAAGGTGCCTTCCACAGACAGTCCTTGACCTGTCCCATATTTACTGGATGCATGATATAAAGGTGCCAACCACAGACAGTCCTTGACCTGTCCCATATTTACTGGATACAGAAGGTGCCTTCCACAGACAGTCCTTGACCTGTCCCATATTTACTGGATACGCAAGGTGCCAACCACAGACAGTCCTTGACCTGTCCCATATTTACTGGTTATGCAAGGTGCCAACCACAGACAGTCCTTGACCTGTCCCATATTTACTGGATACGCACGGTGCCAACCACAGATAGTCCTTGCCCTGTCCTATTTTTACTGGATATGCAAGGGGCCTTCCACAGATAGTCCTTGACCTGTCCCATATTTACTGGATACGCACGGTGCCAACCACAGATAGTCCTTGCCCTGTCCTATTTTTACTGGATATGCAAGGGGCCTTCCACAGACAGTCCTTGACCTGTCCCATATTTACTGGATACGCAAGGGGCCTTCCACAGATAGTCCTTGACCTGTCCCATATTTACTGGATACGCACGGTGCCAACCACAGATAGTCCTTGCCCTGTCCTATTTTTACTGGATATGCAAGGGGCCTTCCACAGATAGTCCTTGACCTGTCCCATATTTACTGGATACGCAAGGTGCCAACCACAGACAGTCCTTGACCTGTCCCATATTTACTGGATACGCAAGGTGCCAACCACAGATAGTCCTTGACCTGTCCCATATTTACTGGATACGCAAGGTGCCAACCACAGACAGTCCTTGACCTGTCCCATATTTACTGGATACGCAAGGTGCCAACCACAGACAGTCCTTGACCTGTCCCATATTTACTGGATACGCAAGGTGCCAACCACAGACAGTCCTTGACCTGTCCCATATTTACTGGATACGCAAGGTGCCCACCACAGATAGTCCTTGACCTGTCCCATATTTACTGGATACAGAAGGTGCCTTCCACAGACAGTCCTTGACCTGTCCCATATTTACTGGATACGCAAGGTGCCTTCCACAGACAGTCCTTGACCTGTCCCATATTTACTGGATACGCACGGTGCCAACCACAGATAGTCCTTGCCCTGTCCTATTTTTACTGGATATGCAAGGGGCCTTCCACAGATAGTCCTTGACCTGTCCCATATTTACTGGATACGCAAGGTGCCAACCACAGACAGTCCTTGACCTGTCCCATATTTACTGGATACGCAAGGTGCCAACCACAGATAGTCCTTGACCTGTCCCATATTTACTGGATACGCAAGGTGCCAACCACAGAGAGTCCTTGACCCGTCCCATATTTACTGGATACGCAAGGTGCCAATCACAGATAGTCCCTGACCTGTCCCGTATTTACTGTATACAGAAGGTGCCTTCCACAGACAATCCTTGACCTGTCCCATATTTACTGGATACAGAAGGTGCCAACTACAGATAGTCCTTGACCTGTCCCATATTTACTGGATACAGAAGGTGCCTTCCACAGATAGTCCTTGACCTGTCCCATATTTACTGGATACGCAAGGTGCCAATCACAGATAGTCCCTGACCTGTCCCGTATTTACTGTATACAGAAGGTGCCTTCCACAGACAATCCTTGACCTGTCCCATATTTACTGGATACAGAAGGTGCCAACTACAGATAGTCCTTGACCTGTCCTATATTTACTGGATACGCAAGGTGCCAACCACAGACAGTCCTTGACCTGTCCAATGTTTGCTTGATACAGAAAGTGCCTACCACAGATAGTCCTTGACCCTCTGTTGATGCTGGATGAAGGCCTCACAGTTGGGACCCTCCTTGTACCATCGCACCAGCATCTGCATCACCTTGGATACCTGAACAACAAGAGCTGCTTTCAGATTCTATCTGCATCACCTTGGATACCTGAACAACAAGAGCTGCTTTCAGATTCTATCTGCATCACCTTGGATACCTGAACAACAAGAGCTGCTTTCAGATTCTATCTGCATCACCTTGGATACCTAAACAACAAGAGCTGCTTTCATCTCTTCCTTCACTGTGCAGAATATGAGATTGCAGGATATGAGATTGCAGAGTATGAGATTGCAGAGTATGAGATTGCAGAGTATGAGATTGCAGAGTATGAGATTGCAGAGTATGAGATTGCAGAGTATGAGATTGCAGAGTATGAGATTGCAGAGTATGAGATTGCAGAGTATGAGATTGCGGAGTATGATTGCAGAGTATGAGATTGCAGAGTATGAGAATGGGGAGTATGATTGCGGAGTATGAGTTTGCAGAGTATGAGATTGTGGAGTATGAGATTGCAGAGTATGAGATTGCAGAGTATGAGATTGCAGAGTATGAGATTGCAGAGTATGAGATTGGGAGTATGAGATTGTGGAGTATGAGATTGCAGAGTATTAGATTGTGGAGTATGAGATTGTGGAGTATGAGATTGCAGAGTATTAGATTGTGGAGTATGAGATTGCAGAGTATGAGATTGCAGAGTATTAGATTGCGGAGTATGAGATTGCAGAGTATGAGATTGCAGAGTATGAGATTGCAGAGTATGAGATTGCAGAGTATGAGATTGCGGAGTATGATTGCAGAGTATGAGATTGCAGAGTATGAGATTGGGGAGTATGATTGCGGAGTATGAGATTGCAGAGTATTAGATTGTGGAGTATGATTGCAGAGTATGAGATTGCAGAGTATGAGATTGTGGAGTATGAGATTGCGGAGTATGAGATTGCAGAGTATGAGAGTATGAGCAGAGTATATGAGATTGCAGAGTATGAGATTGCAGAGTATTAGATTGTGGAGTATGAGATTGCAGAGTATGATTGCGGAGTATGATTGCAGAGTATGAGTTTGCAGAGTATGAGATTGTGGAGTATGAGATTGCAGAGTATGAGATTGCAGGAGATATGAGATTGCAGAGTATGAGATTGTGAGAGTATGAGATGCAGATTGCAGAGTATGAAGTTGCAGAGTATGATTGCAGAGTATGAGATTGCAGAGTATGAGATTGGGGAGTATGATTGCGGAGTATGAGATTGCAGAGTATTAGATTGTGGAGTATGAGATTGTGGAGTATGAGATTGCAGAGTATTAGATTGTGGAGTATGAGATTGCAGAGTAGGAGATTGCAGAGTATTAGATTGTGGAGTATGAGATTGCAGAGTATGAGATGAGATTGCAGAGTATTAGATTGCAGAGTATGAGATTGCAGAGTATGAGATTGCAGAGTATGATTGCAGAGTATGAGATTGCAGAGTATGAGTTATCATGGAGTATGATTGCAGAGTATGAGATTGCAGAGTATGAGATTGGGGAGTATGATTGCGGAGTATGAGATTGCAGAGTATTAGATTGTGGAGTATGAGATTGTGGAGTATGAGATTGCAGAGTATTAGATTGTGGAGTATGAGATTGCAGAGTATGAGTTTGCAGAGTATGAGATTGTGGAGTATGAGATTGCAGAGTATGAGATTGCAGAGTATGAGATTGCAGAGTATGAGATTGCAGAGTATGAGATTGCAGAGTATGAGATTGCGGAGTATGATTGCAGAGTATGAGATTGCAGAGTATGAGATTGCAGATTATGATTGCGGAGTATGAGATTGCAGAGTATGAGATTGCAGAGTATGAGATTGTGGAGTATGAGATTGCAGAGTATGAGATTGCAGAGTATGAGATTGCAGAGTATGAGATTGCAGAGTATGAGATTGCAGAGTATGAGATTGCAGAGTATGATTGCAGAGTATGAGATTGCAGAGTATGAGATTGCAGAGTATTAGATTGTGGAGTATGAGATTGCAGAGTATTAGATTGTGGAGTATGAGATTGTGGAGTATGAGATTGCAGAGTATTAGATTGAGATTGGAGTATGAGATTGCAGAGTATGAGATTGCAGAGTATGAGATTGCAGAAGTATGAATTGTAGAGTATGAGATTGCAGAGTATGAGATTGCAGAGTATGAGATTGATTTGGAGTATGAGATTGCAGAGTATGAGATTGCAGAGTATGAGATTATGAGTATGATTGCAGAGTATGAGATTGCAGAGTATGAGAGAAAGTAGAGATTGAGATGATTGCAGAGAGTATGAGATTGCAGAGTATGAGATTGCAAGTATGAGATTGTGGAGTATGAGATTGCAGAGTATGAGATTGCAGAGTATGATTGATTGAATGATGAGTATGAGATTGTGGAGTATGGAGTATGAGATTGCAGAGTATGAGATTATGGAGTATGAGATTGCAGAGTATGAGAGATATGAGAGTATGAGATTGCAGAGTATGAGATTTGGAGTATTAGATTGTGGAATGTATGGAGATTGCAGAGTATTAGATTGCAGAGTATGAGATTGTGGAGTATGAGATTGTGGAGTATGAGATTGCAGAGTATGAGATTGTGGAGTATTAGATTGTGGAGTATTAGATTGTGGAGTATGAGATTGCAGAGTATGAGATTGCAGAGTATGAGATTGTGGAGTATGAGATTGCAGAGTATGAGATTGCAGAGTATGAGATTGCAGAGTATTAGATTGTAGAGTATGAGATTGTGGAGTATTAGAGATTGCAGAGTATGAGATTGCAGAGTATGAGATTGCAGAGTATAGATTGTGGAGTATGAGATTGCAGAGTATGAGATTGCAGAGTATGAGATTGTGGAGTATGAGATTGCAGAGTATGAGATTGCAGAGTATGAGATTGCGGAGTATGAGATTGTGGAGTATGAGATTGCAGAGTATGAGATTGTGGAGTATGAGATTGTGGAGTATGAGATTGCAGAGTATGAGATTGCAGAGTATGAGATTGCAGAGTATTAGATTGCAGAGTATTAGTATTGATTACAGAGTATGAGATTAAGAGAGTATGAGATTGCACAGTATGAGATTCATGGAGTATGAAGAGATTGCAGAGTATGAGATTAAGATATGAGAGATTGCAAGTATGAGATTGCAGAGTATGAAGTTGTGGAGTATGAGATTGCAGAGTATGAGATTGCAGAGTATGAGGATTGCAGAGTATGGAGATTGCAGAGATTTAGAGTATGAGTATTGCAGAGTATAGATTGTGGAGTATGAGATTGCAGAGTATGAGATTGCAGAGTATGAGATTGCAGAGTATGAGATTGCAGAGTATGAGATTGCAGAGTATGAGATTGCAGAGTATGAGATTGCAGAGTATGAGATTGTGGAGTATGAGATTGCAGAGTATGAGATTGCAGAGTATGAGATTGCAGTAGTATGAGATTGCAGAGTATGAGATTGCAGAGTATGAGATTGGAGTATGAGATTGCAGAGTATTAGATTGCAGAGTATGAGATTGCAGAGTATGAGATTGCAGAGTATGAGATTGTGAGTATGAAGTTGCAGGAGTATGAGATTGCAGAGTATTAGATTGCAGAGTATGAGATTGTGGAGTATGAGATTGCAGAGTATGAGATTGTGGAGTATGAGATTGATATGAAGATTGCAGAGTATGAGATTGCAGAGTATGAGATTGCAGAGTGCAGAGTATGATTGTGGAGTATGAGATTGCAGAGTATTAGATTGTGGAGTATGAGATTGTGGAGTATGAGATTGCAGAGTATGAGGATTAGTATGAGATTGCAGAGTATGAGATTGCAGAGGTATGAGATTGCAGAGTATGAAGGAGTATGAGATTGTGGAGTATGAGATTGCAGAGTATGAGATTGTGGAGTATGAGATTGCAGAGTATGAGATTGCAGAGTATGAGATTGTAGAGTATGAGATTGTGGAGTATGAGATTGCAGAGTATGAGTATGAGATTGCAGAGTATGAGATTGCAGAGTATGAGATTGTGGAGTATGAGATTGCAGAGTATATGCAGAGTATGAGATTGCAGGAGTATGAGATTGTGGAGTATGAGATTGCAGAGTATTAGATTATGGAGTAGTAGAGTATGATGAGATTGCAGAGTATGAGATTGCAGAGTATGAGATTGTATGGAGTATGAGATTGCAGAGTATGAGATTGCAGAGTATGAGATTGAGTATGATTGTGGAGTATGAGATTGCAGAGTATGAGATTGTGGAGTATGAGATTGCAGAGTATTAGATTGCAGAGTATGAGATTGTGGAGTATGAGATTGCAGAGTATTAGATTGTGGAGTATGAGATTGCAGAGTATGAGATTGCAGAGTATGAGATTGTGGAGTATGAGATTGTGGAGTATGAGATTGCAGAGTATGAGATTGTGGAGTATGAGATTGCAGAGTATGAGATTGCAGAGTATGAGAGATGCAGAGTTGTGCAGTATGAGATTGTGGAGTATGAGATTGCAGAGTATTAGATTGCAGAGTATGAGATTGTGGAGTATGAGATTGTGGAGTATGAGATTGCAGAGTATGAGATTGTGGAGTATGAGATTGCAGAGTATTAGATTGCAGAGTATGAGATTGTGGAGTATGAGATTGCAGAGTATGAGATTGCGGAGTATGAGATTGCAGAGTATTAGATTGCAGAGTATGAGATTGTGGAGTATGAGATTGTGGAGTATGAGATTGCAGAGTATGAGATTGTGGAGTATGAGATTGCAGAGTATTAGATTGCAGAGTATGAGATTGTGGAGTATGAGATTGCAGAGTATGAGATTGAGGAGTATGAGATTGCAGAGTATGAGATTGCAGAGTATGAGATTGTGGAGTATGAGATTGTGGAGTATGAGATTGCAGAGTATGAGATTGTGGAGTATGAGATTGCAGAGTATTAGATTGCAGAGTATGAGATTGTGGAGTATGAGATTGCAGAGTATGAGATTGCAGAGTATGAGATTGCAGAGTATGAGATTGCAGAGTATTAGATTGTGGAGTATGAGATTGCAGAGTATGAGATTGCAGAGTATGAGATTGCAGCGTATGAGATTGCGGAGTATGAGATTGTGGAGTATGAGATTGCAGAGTATGAGTTTGCGGAGAAGGTTTTGTCATGGAACCTGCTTCATAGCTTTGCACTCTGCTCAAATTCCTCACAACAAATGAAGCACATTGATGAATGTTCATAGATCTGTCCATGTTCAGGTACAACAGATTCCTTATAGCAGAAACCACTAAGGTGATAACTTGTGTCATTATTGAACAGAAGATGACAAATCCCTCTGGCCCCAACAAATTTAAAAGAACAAATCATCTGAGAGTTACATATAGTCCAACTTTATGAGAGAATTTCTGTCTAATATGTCGGTCTGTATACAACAGTAGTTATTGAGCTATCAAAACAAATAACATGGAATTGAGATTCGTAACTTTGTACTGCTGTGTCAGATACTTAGTGAATACTACGCGAGGTCTCATTACATATGAATTATACAAAATGAGTGTCCTTCCTATGGTATCTGACAGAGCGAAAGCAAGGTCAGAAACCATAGGAAGGTCACGAGTTTCGTATAAGTCGTATGTTATGAGACCGAGTGTGGTATTTTATCTATTACCCACGTCTTACATGCATTAAATGTTTCACGGAGACATGGCTATCACCCTCTGTGGACAGTAACACCCTCTGTTTGGAAAGATTTGGTACTCCCGTTCGATTACACAGAGATTCAGATACTACAGGGAAATCTATTGGAGGAGGTGTATGTATGTATATAAATGAAAAGTGGTGTCATAACTATCTTGTGAGAGAAAGGATATGTTCACCAAACATCGAACTTCTATCAGTGTCTATGCGGCCTACTTATCTACCACATGAATTCGGTCAGATCTTTGCTGTGAGTGTCTACATCCCACCCAGTGCCGATAACAAACAAGCAGCTGATGTAGTTCATTATCATGTTCAATCCCTAGAGCTGATTTGTCCTGATGCACCAAAATTCATACTTGGAGATTTTAATGGATGTACCCTGAAGTCTGTGCTCCCCACCTACAATCAGTATGTAACATGTTGTACATGGAAAGACAAGATCCTTGACTTGTGTTATGGTAACATCAAGTACGCCTACAAATCATAGAGTAAACCACCCCTAGGAGCTTCGGACCATAATTCTGTGTATTTGCAGCCCACATATCGTCAAAAGTTAAAAACAGAGAAGGCTATTGTTAAGACTGTCAATTCATGGAAAAGAGAATCTATTGAAACCCTACAAGGATGTTTTTCGTGTACAAATTGGGACATGTTCTATGATGCAGAACAAACATTAGAAGGAATGTGTGACGTCATTACGGATTATATACATTTTTGTGTCATAATACCAGAAAAAGAAATCAGAATTTTCCCAAACAAGCCCTGGATCACAAAACGAAAAGAAACGAGCATACAAGAAGAAAGATAGAATAAAACTCAAATGCACACAGAAGGACATCAATCTTAAAGCTCGTGAGTGTAAACTAGCGTACAAAGAGAAAGTTGAGAGACAGTGTCAGCAAAGCAATCTGCAACAAGCCTGGCAAGGCGTGAACACGATGATTGGCAAGAGCAGGCGATGACAGACAACCAACGCCGGGGATAATAAAACCTTTGCTGAGGACCTCAACACTTTCTATAGCCGCTTTGATTGTCACGACTTTACCAATGAGAGAGCTCAAGTTAGTGAAGCCGTACAGGATAGTGAAAGTCGTATCCATATATCAGAAGCTGACGTCATTCAAAGCTTCTCCACAATTAACATTAGAAAAGCAAAAGGACCTGACAACCTTGACGACATTGTGTTAAAGGAGTGCAGACTTCAACTGTGTACAGTTTTCACTAGATTGTTTCAATTCTCAGTGAATACACACATTATTCCTTCGGTCTGGAAAACATCAGAAATAGTACCAGTTCCTAAAAAGACACAACCTAAAGAACTCAACGACTACAGGCCAGTTGCTCTCACATCTATAGCAATGAAGTCACTGGAACGCATCTTGTTGAGACATCTCCGTCAGGAAGTTGCCGACATACTGGACCCGCTTCAGTTCACCTACAAGTCATGGAGAGGAGTTGTTGATGCCACACTGTCACTCCTGAATAATGTCTATAAACATCTAGAGACACCTAGTCATACATCAGGATCCTCTTCGTTGACTTTTCATCTCGTTCAACACCATCCAGCCACATATCATGATACAGAAACTGTTAGACATGGGCGTTAACTCATACCTCATCAAGTGGATCGAAAACTTTCTTGTGGACAGACAGCAGTACGTGAAAGTTAACGGGGGCTGAATCGAGTAAACGGACCACCAACACTGGTGCACCACAAGGCTGTGTAATATCTCCTGTTCTTTTCACCCTCTACACTAATGATTGTGCAAGCTCGAATTCAACCTGATCAACTGTAAAGTTCGCAGATGATGCAGCAATTGTCGGCAAACTGAACGACACTGATTCTGAAGAACTGTATAAAGAGGACATTAATCATTTTACGACTTGGTGTGCAGAAAACCACTTACTCTTAAATGTCACAAAAACAAAGGAACTGATAAATGATTTTCGGAGTAAACCCACAGAAATGCTTCCAGTGATAATCAACAGTGAATGTGTTGAGACAGTGTCGGAGTATAAGTATCTGGGAACCTTCATTGACTCTAAGCTGAACTGGAACTCTAACACTGAAGCCCTATACAAAAAGTGTCAACAACGTCTTCATCTCATGTGTAAACTGAGATCTTTTAATGTTAACCCATCTGTAATGTCATCTTTTTATGTAGCATTTATTCAGAGTATTTTAACATTTTCCTTCCATTGTTGGTACGGGTCTCTCTCAGTTCATCTCAAATCTAAAATAGACAAAATTGTTAACACTGCAAGTTAAATCGCTAGAGTCAGATTTGAATGTTTATCATCAATATATGAGCGGCAAATCGTGAATCAAGCTGTCAAAATCATATCTGACCGTACTCACTACTTAAATTCAGAATACAACCTCCTCCCTTCAGGCCGCCACTACAAAGTTCCAATTGTGAAAACTAAGAGAGCCTGTACATCCTTTATTCCAAGTACCATATCTCTCTTAAACAAATGTGAAGATACCTTAATCAACGAATTTATGTAAATATGTTTGGTATCTCTCTAATGTGTTAGTAGCTCTGCTGATGTAACACAAATTCCTGAAAAGCCATTAAAGTATTATTCTATTCTATTCTATTCTAAATTGACAAAATAGCGTATTTTTGTTATTTTTATGGTTTCAAACCGAAACCGGTTTCATAAAGAGGTTGCAGAAGAATTTTGTTATGTAGTACACTTGTGACATCACACTATAATGACGTCACTACGCCTTGCTCGTCTGCCCCCTTGGTAACCGACATCACGATGCATGTCAGTTGTCATCGCCTCGTACAGCCTCCTACATTAAACTACTATATAATGTCTCAGTTCGACTCACATTTAAACAGCGATAGAGCAACGTTTGCAATGTTTACATTCCCACAATACATATAAGTTGTAGAATGAATGAATTCACGTGTTTGTTATAAATGAACAAGTAGTTCCGTCACAACGTGACCTAATTCAGAGGTCATTGGTTATCCAATCAAAATCATTAGAATCTCAGGTCAAGTCGTTACGACACAGGTCAACGTGATACGACACTCGTGTGACGTACGAGATCAGTATGCAACTACCCATACGTTGACGGGTAATAAACACCAACATCAAAGTCAAAGGAAAACTTCTAAACATCACTGACCAATAGCAAAAAGCAGCAGTTGACAAGCTGGCTTTTGCTGGTGCACAGTTTCATGAAAGAATACCTAGTTCTCTTTCGAGATATGGTCCAGACAAACACAACACTATGAACAGAATCAAAAGTCAAACTTGCTGCCATGAAAATGGACAAAACATAAATTCTTAACGACCCAAGTAGCAGAAGGAACCGTTTGTCAACCTGGTCTTTGTGTTCACACAGTTTCATGAAAGAATACCTATTAGTTTTAGAGATATGGTCCGGACAAACACACCACTATGAACAGAGTCAAAGTCAAACTTGTTACCATAGAATCAGGAAACAAATATATTTTCTTAAAATATCGTATTCCACGTGGTAAGCTAAAAATATTGAAAAAAAGGGGGTGCTTATTTAAATCACTTGTCATTCACTTGAATATTTGTTACAGCCCGTATATGCAACGTAAATAAACTTCAAATAGGAGGGCGCTAAAAATGTAATAAAAAAGATGGTAACATGCAGGGGAGCTTGACACATGTTACAACATTGTCAGCATACTCACTGGACCAATGCTGATACCCTTTGTGAAACTGTCGTCTGCACATATGTGTTCATAACACATGTTAAGGGCCTTCTCTCTTAGAGAAGAGCTGTGGAAGACTTCATACCAGTCCAGGAAAACTGAAACAGAAAAAAGCTGAGGAAGACTTCATACTAGTCCAGGAAAACTGAAACAGTGAGGAGCTGAGGAAGACTTCATAACCAGTCCAGGAAAACTGAAACAGTGAGGAGCTGAGGAAAACATCATACCAGTCCAGGAAATCTGAAACAGAGGAGATGAGGAAGACTTCATACCAGTCCAGGAAATCTGAAACAGAGGAGCTGAGGAAAACTTCATACCAGTCCAGGAAAACTGAAACAGAGAGGAGCTGAGGAAAACATCATACCAGTCCAGGAAAACTGAAACAGAGGAGCTGAGGAAGACTTCATACCAGTCCAGGAAAACTGAAACAAAGGAGCTGAGGAAGACTTCATACCATTCCAGGAAAACTGAAACAAAGGAGCTGAGGAAGACTTCATACCAGTCCAGGAAAACTGAAACAAAGGAGCTGAGGAAGACTTCATACCAGTCCAGGAAATCTGAAACAGAGGAGATGAGGAAGACTTCATACCAGTCCAGGAAATCTGAAACAGAGAGGAGCTGAGGAAAACTTCATACCAGTCCAGGAAAACTGAAACAAAGGAGCTGAGGAAGACTTCATACCAGTCCAGGAAATCTGAAACAGAGGAGATGAGGAAGACTTCATACCAGTCCAGGAAATCTGAAACAGAGGAGCTGAGGAAAACATCATACCAGTCCAGGAAAACTGAAACAGAGAGGAGCTGAGGAAGACTTCATACCAGTCCAGGAAATCTGAAACAGAGGAGCTGAGGAAAACTTCATACAAGTCCACATACAAGTCCGAATACAAGTCCACATGCCAGTCCAGGAAACTCCCTTCTTCCTTCTCTCACTCACTCCCTTCTTCCCACGCCAGACATGACCAGGACTCACACCAGACATGACCAGGACTCACACCAGACATGACCAGGACTCACACCAGACATGTCCAGGACTCACACCAGTCATGACCAGGACTCACACCAGTCATGACTCACACCAGTCATGACCAGGACTCACACCAGACATGACCAGGACTCACACCAGGCATGACCAGGACTCACACCAGACATGACCAGGACTCACACCAGACATGACCAGGACTCACACCAGTGATGACCAGGACTCACACCAGGCATGACCAGGACTCACACCAGTCATGACCAGGACTCACACCAGGCATGATCAGGACTCACACCAGGCATGACCAGGACTCACACCAGACATGACCAGGACTCACACCAGACATGACAAGGACTCACACCTGACATGACAAGGACTCACCGAAGGCTGTGTCTAAAAGCCAACTATGTGGGGTGTACAGGTCAGCCTTGCTGATATTGTTTCTCTGGGCCGGCCAGTCTATAGTGCTGAAGTCACATGGATACAGCTCCTGCACAAACCAACAGACTCATGTTCAGATAATGTGGAAACCTGAATAGTGCAACCATCTACCATGTCTCCAGAGAAACAGTAGCAATAACCATCTACCATGTACCATGTCTCCGGAGACACTGCAGCAACCATCTACCATGTTCCCTGAGACACAGCAGCAATCATCTACTATGTACCAGAGTCTCCGGAGACACTGCAGCAACCATCTACCATGTCTCCGGAGACACTGCAGCAACCATCTACCATGTCCCCTGAGACACAGCAGCAATCATCTACTATGTACCAGAGTCTCCGGAGACACTGCAGCAACCATCTACCATGTCCCCTGAGACACAGCAGCAATCATCTACCATGTGCCAGAGTCTCCGGAGACACAGCAGCAATCATCTACTATGTCTCCGGAGACACTGCAGCAACCATCTACCATGTCTCCGGAGACACTGCAGCAACCATCTACCATGTCCCCTGAGACACAGCAGCAATCATCTACTATGTACCAGAGTCTCCGGAGACACTGCAGCAACCATCTACCATGTCTCCGGAGACACTGCAGCAACCATCTACCATGTCCCCTGAGACACAGCAGCAATCATCTACTATGAACCATGTCTCCTGAGACACAGCAACAACCATCTACTATGTACCATGTCTCCTGAGACACAGCAACAACCATCTACTATGTACCATGTCTCCGGAGACACAGCAACAACCATTTACCATGTCTCCTGAGACACAGCAACAATCATCTACCATGTACCATGTCTCCGGAGACACAGCAACAACCATCTACTATGTACCATGTCTCCGGAGACACAGCAACAACCATCTACTATGTACCATGTCTCCGGAGACACAGCAACAACCATCTACTATGTACCATGTCTCCGGAGACACAGCAACAACCATCTACTATGTACCATGTCTCCGGAGACACAGCAACAACCATCTACTATGTACCATGTCTCCGGAGACACAGCAACAACCATCTACTATGTACCAGAGTCTCCGGAGACACAGCAACAACCATCTACTATGTACCATGTCTCTGGAGACACAGCAACAACCATCTACTATGTACCATGTCTCCGGAGACACAGCAACAACCATCTACTATGTACCATGTCTCCGGAGACACTGCAGCAACCATATACCATGTCCCCTGAGACACAGCAGCAACCATCTACTATGTACCATGTCTCTGGAGACACAGCAACAACCATTTACTATGTACCATGTCTCTGGAGACACTGCAACAACCATCTACTATGTACCATGTCTCCGGAGACACAGCAACAACCATCTACTATGTACCATGTCTCCGGAGACACAGCAGCAACCATCTACTATGTACCATGTCTCCGGAGACACAGCAACAACCATCTACTATGTACCATGTCTCCGGAGACACTGCAACAACCATCTACTATGTACCATGTCTCCGGAGACACAGCCACAACCATCTACTATGTACCATGTCTCCGGAGACACAGCAACAACCATCTACCATGTACCATGTCTCCGGAGACACTGCAACAACCATCTACTATGTACCATGTCTCCGGAGACACTGCAACAACCATCTACCATGTACCATGTCTCCGGAGACACTGCAGCAAACCATTTACCATGTCTCCGGAGACACAGCAGCAACCATCTACTATGTACCATGTCTCCGGAGACACTGCAGCAACCATCTACCATGTACCATGTCTCCGGAGACACTGCAACAACCATCTACTATGTACCATGTCTCCGGAGACACAGCAGCAACCATCTACTATGTACCATGTCTCCGGAGACACAGCAACAACCATCTACTATGTACCATGTCTCCGGAGACACAGCAACAACCATCTACCATGTACCATGTCTCCGGAGACACTGCAACAACCATCTACCATCTACCATGTCTCCGAGACACAGCAGCAACCATCTACTATGTACCATGTCTCCGAGACACAGCAACAACCATCTACTATGTACCATGTCTCCGAGACACTGCAACAACCATCTACTATGTACCATGTCTCCGAGACACAGCAGCAACCATCTACTATGTACCATGTCTCCGGAGACACAGCAGCAACCATCTACTATGTACCATGTCTCCGGAGACACTGCAACAACCATCTACTATGTACCATGTCTCCGGAGACACAGCAGCAACCATCTACTATGTACCATGTCTCCGGAGACACAGCAGCAACCATCTACTATGTACCATGTCTCCGGAGACACAGCAACAACCATCTACCATGTCTCCGGAGACACTGCAACAACCATCTACTATCTACCATGTCTCCGGAGACACAGCAGCAACCATCTACTATGTACCATGTCTCCGGAGACACAGCAACAACCATCTACTATGTACCATGTCTCCGGAGACACTGCAACAACCATCTACTATGTACCATGTCTCCGGAGACACAGCAGCAACCATCTACTATGTACCATGTCTCCGGAGACACTGCAACAACCATCTACTATGTACCATGTCTCCGGAGACACAGCAACAACCATCTACTACTATGTACCATGTCTCCGGAGACACTGCAACAACCATCTACTATGTACCATGTCTCCGGAGACACAGCAGCAACCATCTACTATGTACCATGTCTCCGGAGACACTGCAGCAACCATCTACTATGTACCATGTCTCCGGAGACACTGCAGCAACCATCTACCATCTACCATGTCTCCAGAGACACAGAAACAACCATCTACTATGTACCATGTCTCCAGAGACACTGCAACAACCATCTACTATGTACCAGAGTCTCCGGAGACACAGCAGCAACCATCTACTATGTACCATGTCTCCGGAGACACTGCAACAACCATCTACTATGTACCATGTCTCCGGAGACACAGCAGCAACCATCTACTATGTACCATGTCTCCAGAGACACAGAAACAACCATCTACTATGTACCATGTCTCCAGAGACACTGCAACAACCATCTACTATGTACCATGTCTCTGGAGACACAGTAACAACCATCTACTATGTACCAAAGTCTCCGGAGACACAGCAGCAACCATCTATCATGTACCATGTCTCCGGAGACACAGCAACAACCATTTACCATGTCTCCTGAGACACAGCAACAATCATCTACTATGTACCAGAGTCTCCGGAGACACAGCAACAACCATCTACCATGTACCATGTCTCCGGAGACACAGCAACAACCATCTACTATGTACCAGAGTCTCTGGAGACACAGTAGCAACCATCTACCATGTACCATGTCTCCGGAGACACAGCAACAACCATCTACTATGTACCATGTCTCCGGAGACACTGCAGGAACCATCTACCATGTCTCCGGAGACACTGCAGCAACCATCTACCATGTCCCCTGAGACACAGCAGCAATCATCTACTATGTCTCCCGAGACACAGCAACAACCATCTACTATGTACCAGAGTCTCCAGAGACACAGCAGCAACCATCTACCATGTACCATGTCTCCTGAGACACAGCAGCAACCATCTACCATGTACCATGTCTCTGGAGACACAGCAGCAACCATCTACTATGTACCATGTCTCCTGAGACACAGCAGCAATCATCTACCATGTACCATGTCTCTGGAGACACAGCAACAACCATCTACTATGTACCAGAGTCTCCGGAGACACAGCAGCAACCATCTACCATGTACCATGTCTCTGGAGACACAGCAGCAACCATCTACCATGTACCATGTCTCTGGAGACACAGCAACAACCATCTACTATGTACCATGTCTCCGGAGACACAGCAGCAACCATCTACCATGTACCATGTCTCCGGAGACACAGCAACAATCATCTACTATGTACCAGAGTCTCCGGAGACACAGCAGCAACCATCTACCATGTACCATGTCTCCGGAGACACTGCAACAACCATCTACTATGTACCATGTCTCCGGAGACACTGCAACAACCATCTACCATGTACCATGTCTCCGGAGACACTGCAGCAACCATTTACCATGTCTCCGGAGACACTGCAACAACCATCTACTATGTACCATGTCTCCGGAGACACAGCAGCAACCATCTACTATGTACCATGTCTCTGGAGACACAGCAACAATCATCTACTATGTACCAGTGTCTCCGGAGACACAGCAGCAACCATCTACCATGTACCATGTCTCCGGAGACACAGCAACAACCATCTACTATGTACCATGTCTCCTGAGACACAGCAACAACCATCTACTATGTACCATGTCTCAGGAGACACAACAGCAACAACCATCTACCATGTCTCCGGAGACACAGCAGCAACAACCATCTACCACCTACCATGTCCCCAGAGACACAGCAACAACCATCTACCATGTCCCCAGAGACACAGCAACAACCATCTACCATGTCCCCTGAGACACAGCAGCAACAACCATCTACCATGTCTCTGGAGACACAGCAACAACCATCTACCCTGTCTCTGGAGACACAGCAACAACCATCTACCATGTCTCTGGAGACACAGCAACAACCATCTACCATATCTCCTGAGACGCAGCAACAACCATCTACCCTGTCTCTGGAGACACAGCAACAACCATCTACCATGTCTCTGGAGACAAAGCAGCAACAACCATCTACCATGTCTCTGGAGACACAGCAACAACCATCTACCATATCTCCTGAGACGCAGCAACAACCATCTACCATGTCTCCGGAGACACAGCAGCAACAACCATCTACCATGTCTCAGGAGACACAGCAACAACCATCTACCATATCTCCTGAGACGCAGCAACAACCATCTACCCTGTCTCTGGAGACACAGCAGCAACCATCTACCATGTCTCTGGAGACACAGCAACAACCATTTACCATGTCTCTGGAGACACAGCAACAACCATCTACCATATCTCCTGAGACGCAGCAACAACCATCTACCCTGTCTCTGGAGACACAGCAGATGGTAGATGGTAGATGGTTGTTGCTGCATCTCCTGCAGCTCACCTACATATCTGGATTATTATTTTGCCCAAATACAGTAAATATAAATACACAAACTAGCACCACAGACATTAAACATCAAGGAAATAGCCTGCATATCTAATAATGGAAGGATAGACTGATAGAAGATATATACTCAGTAGCAAGAAAACGTCAGTATGAATTCAAAATTAGATAGGCACTGTAATCAAATCATTACAGAAATGGACATAATAAGCGGATCAAATACATTTTTTGTGTACAACAATGAATAACAGTGCTCAGACAATAGCACAATTCCAAGACATTACGTGAACGTTTGCAGTCCATTCAGACTCTTGACTTCAGTATCTAGTGTGACCACCACGAGCGTCAATAACTGCAGCACAGCGTCTATGCATGGAGTGCACCAATCAATTGATGAAGGCCATTGGCACCTGGAACCACACTCTGAGAAAGGCCTGGCACAATAAATGTTTGGCCTTCACTGATATGACATTATTCAGTCTCCTCTGAATTTCATCTCAAAGGTGTTCAGTTGGGTTTAAATCAGGACTAAGGGCTCGCCACTGTATAATGTTGACACCATTCTGCTGTAGGAAGTCCCGTGTAGCTCTGGCAGTATGGGCCCGGGCGTTATCATGCTGGAAAATGCTGTTCCGGTGACGTGCGAAATGTGGTATGACGTGGGGTCTGAGAGCTTGGTCGATGAAGCGCACCGCTGTGATGCCGCCTCTTCTCCCTGGACCAAGGTTCTGGAACACCACAGGCCCCACTCTCTGGTTCAGGCCTATTCCACCCCATACCATGATGCTTGCACCTCCCCATGAGTCTCTTTCTATAACACATTGGTCTTAGTAACGCTGGCCACGTCATCGCCATATTCTTGTTCTGCCATCTGCAGTTGATACACAGTACCGACTCTCCTCTGTGAACAGAACAGTTCTCCATTGCCTGTATCGCCAGTTTTGGTGTTGTAGGGCAAACTGTAGACGTTCACGCCAAAGGGGTGAGGATAGGTCCACGGTAAGGTCTACGGCAATGGAGGTTCCCGCTGTTAAGACTGTATCAGTACTGATTGGTCTTCCTTGTGTTCCCACTGTCTGGCGTGCTGTTTCGGATGCCTGCATGAAGGGATTGTGTACATGCTGTCGCACAACATGGCGGTCTTGTCGTCTTGTGGTCACCCTTGGTCTGCCAGTATGGGGGGCGATTATTTGTGGTGTTGGTGTCCCAGAAACGTTGCTGCAGCCTGTAGATGGTCCGAACGTTGACCTGGAAGTGACTGGCAACGGCTTGTGCAGAGTGGCCAGCTTCAAGTCTTCCTAGCGCCTGGTTCCTCTGAGCTGTCGTGAGTCGTGGCATCCTGCTGACATTGTAATGTGAATGTTTCAACCAGGTTTGGGGGTGCACTTTATAGGGCTGGTCCTTGTGAACAGCACGTGCATGAGTTGCATGAAAAACATGGAGAACACCGTACCATCTCCAAGATCAGGTTGCATTTTTTAGACCATTTCCTGGGTTCTATTCTGAGTTTGGGAAGGAATGTCTTTGCTCAGGTAAAGTTGGAGATGTTGTCAAAAATATACAATCAAAACATTAAATGTGTTTACAGTTATCTGTTTCTGTTAAGGAAAATTCCAAATTGACGTTTCTTTTGCTGCTTAGTATATATTCCACATAGATAATATATAATCCTTCATATATTTTCATGATATATGCTCAAATGGTTTTATAATGGGAAGATGTATCTAAGATTGCTGTTGTATCCATGTTTAATAACACATCATAAAGCTGCAATTATAACACTATCTGCCGCAATAAGGCAATGTTAGGACCAAAGTCACTGCATTGTAAACCGTTAAGATATAAGGCAAAAGAACTTAAATAAGGTGAAAACCTAAACATGAGGTGGGACTCTGGAATCTGTACTGCCAGAGTAGTTTAATGCAAAATATGACATAACTTCTTTGAGTGACATTTACACACACGAAAACACATTAGCCAACAGTAAGGCACCTTTCTCAGAGCCAGAATGAGGTCAGTCTCCTTGGCCTTGATCTTCTCTCCGTAGAAGTATGCCATGGGCAGGTACACTTGCCTACAGTGGCACCACAGCTTGGATGGATGGACAGGGATCCAATTTGGCAGCAGCCTACAGCAGAGCATCCACTATACACGGATTTATAACGGACGTATATAGCTCATAACTTAACAGCAATCAGACAATGACTTACATACCTCATGTTCCAGTACATAACAGTGCTCAGACAATGACTTACATAGCTCATGTTCCAATACATAACAGTGCTCAGACATGGACTTACATAGCTCATGTCCAATACATAACAGTGCTCAGACAATGACTTACATAGCTCATGTTCCAATACATAACAGTGCTCAGACAATGACTTACATAGCTCATGTCCAATACATAACAGTGCTCAGACAATGACTTACACACCTCATGTTCCAGTACATAACAGTGCTCAGACAATGACTTACATAGCTCATGTTCCAGTACAGTACAGTGCTCAGACAATGACTTACATAGCTCATGTTCCAATACATAACAACAATCAGACAATGACTTATACAGCTCATGTTCCAATACATAACAGTGCTCAGACAATGACTTCTATAGCTCATGTTCCAGTACATTACAGTGCTCAGACAATGACTTACATAGCTCATGTTCCAGTACACAATGACTTCTCATGTTCATAGCTCTCGAATGTTCCAGTACAGTGCTCAGACAATGACTTACATACCTCATGTTCCAGTACATAACAGTGCTCAGACAATGACTTCTATAGCTCATGTTCCAGTACATTACAGTGCTCAGACAATGACTTACATACCTCATGTTCCAGTACATTACAGTGCTCAGACAATGACTTACATAGCTCATGTTCCAATACATAACAGTGCTCAGACAATGACTTACATAGCTCATGTCCAATACATAACAGTGCTCAGACAATGACTTACATAGCTCATGTTCCAATACATAACAGTGCTCAGACAATGACTTACATAGCTCATGTCCAGTACATAACAGTGCTCAGACAATGACTTACATAGCTCATGTCCAATACATAACAGTGCTCAGACAATGACTTACATAGCTCATGTTCCAGTACATTACAGTGCTCAGACAATGACTTACATAGCTCATGTTCCAGTACATAACAGTGCTCAGACAATGACTCAGACAATTACATACCTCATGTTCCAGACTTATACAGCTCATGTCCTACACAATACATAACAGTGCTCAGACAATGACTTACATAGCTCATGTTCCAATACATAACAGTGCTCAGACAATGACTTACATAGCTCATGTCCAATACATAACAGTGCTCAGACAATGACTTACATAGCTCATGTTCCAGTACATTACACTCAGACTCAGACAATGACATAGCTCATGTTCCAGTACATAACAGTGCTCAGACAATGACTTACATACCTCATGTTCCAGTACATAACAGTGCTCAGACAATGACTTACATAGCTCATGTTCCAGTACATAACAGTGCTCAGACAATGATTTATACAGCTCATGTTCCAGTACATACATAACAGTGCTCAGACAATGACTTATATAGCTCATCCAATACATAACACTGCTCAGACAATACATAGCTCATGTTCCAGTACATTACAGTGCTCAGACAATGACTTTACATAGCTCATGTCAGACAATGACTTATATATCACATACAACAGCAATCAGACAATGACTTATAGCTCAGCAGTACATGTTCCAATACATAACATGTTCCAGTGCTCAGACAATGACTTCTATAGCTCATGTTCCAGTACATAACAGTGCTCAGACAATGACTTATATAGCTCATGTTCCAGTACATTACAGTGCTCAGACAATGACTTACATAGCTCATGTTTCAGTACATTACAGTGCTCAGACAATGACTTACATAGCTCATGTTCCAGTACATTACAGTGCTCAGACAATGACTTACATAGCTCATGTTCCAGTACATTACAGTGCTCAGACAATGACATGACTTACATAGCTCATGTTCCAGTACATTACAGTGCTCAGACAATAACTTACATAGCTCATGTTTCAGTACATTACAGTGCTCAGACAATGACTTATACAGCTCATGTTTCAGTACATTACAGTGCTCAGACAATGACTTACATACTTCATGTTCCAAAATATAACATAAATCAGACAGTAACTATCTGGGAACACAGACACAATTTACCACATTTCAGGGAACAGAGACACAACTTACCATGTTTCAGTACACTTACCACATTTCAGGGAACAGAGACACAACTTACCACATTTCAGGGAACAGAGACACAACTTACCACATTTCAGGGAACAGAGACACAACTTACCACATTTCAGGGAACAGAGACACAACTTACCACATTTCAGGGAACAGAGACACAACTTACCACATTTCAGGGAACAGAGACACAACTTACCACATTTCAGGGAACAGAGACACAACTTACCACATTTCAGGGAACAGAGACACAACTTACCACATTTCAGGGAACAGAGACACAACTTACCACATTTCAGGGAACAGAGAATGAAGTCCATCCCAGCTATAGACATTGAGGACTGCCAACCAGCATTTGCCCCAGGACGGAATAGCAGCAGCCCCACCTGGTGGAATACAGATCACATGAAAAAACATTCCAGGTCTTGTCTTCCAATTCTGAATATCCCTCCACTGACAAATGGACATAAATGCTCAATGTTCCTCCACGGACAAATGGACCCCATATACATAAATGCTCAATGTTCCTCTAGTGACAAATGGACCATACATAATGTAATCCTGTGAATCAAGATAGTGACAAATGGACCACACATAACCTAATCCTGTGTATCAAGCTAGTGACAAATGGACCTCACATAATCTAATCCTGTGTATCAAGCTAGTGACAAATGAACCACACATAACCTAATCCTGTATATCAAGATAGTGACAAATGGACCATACATAACCTAATCCTGTGTATCAAGCTAGTGACAAATGGACCACACATAATCTAATCCTGTGTATCAAGCTAGTGACAAATGAACCACACATAACCTAATCCTGTGTATCAAGCAAGTGACAAATGGACCTCACATAACCTAATATCAAGCTCACAAATAACCATAATCCTAATCCTGTGTATCAAGTTAGTGACAAATGGACCACACATAACCTAATCCTGTGTATCAAGCTAGTGACAAATGGACCACACATAATCTAATCCTGTGTATCAAGCTAGTGACAAATGAACCACACATAACCTAATCCTGTATATCAAGCAAGTGACAAATGGACCTCACATAACCTAATCCTGTGTATCAAGCTAGTGACAATTGGACCATCAACATAACCATACATAATCTAATCCTGTGTATCAAGCTAGTGACAAATGAACCACACATAACCTAATCCTGTATATCAAGCTAGTGACAAATGGACACATACATAATCCTATCCTGTGTATCCAAGCTAGTGACAATTGGATCACAGATCCTTATATTGTTATGTCAAGACATATCAGAAGGTGAAGGTGTTTTAAGTAGTTATTAAATTATGCAAATAAAAATTATAAACTGCTAAACTCCAAAAATATGTTTAAAGCTTTCTTTGGTGAAGGGTTCTATAATAAACATTGTGGTTGTCTGAAATCGGATTTACAAAGCTCATAAAAGCTTTTGTTGAGGGTTTGTTAGTAAAATTCTATGTGGTTGAGGTGCATCTGAATGATGTCCCTTTGTGGAATATTGTCATCACTAAGGAAGCGAAGTGGTTCAGTCTGGCCTCAATTTCACATTGTGTGCAATGTGACCAGAGATTAAGTCTCTGATTGGGTACAATTGTTTTGAGGCATATTACATAACCTGAGTGTCCCAGCACATGGCACTTAGCATCCAGCCTTGCACAGCACAGCACAGCACAGCATCAGCACTGTTACTTGCCACAGAAGGTTAGTTTTAATTGATAGTTTTTTTATTTAAATACACTAAAGTTAGAAGCTGTCATTTATATTATGCTATAATAAAACTTAGGAAATACTACAAATAAATAATTAGCAAATTATTTCTAGCATAACGTGTAACTGTAGTGTATGCACTTGTGTATGCCTTGCAATTGTGTGAAATTGGCAAATGTTGCTTGCAGGTGCAAAACAGGGTAGAATTGTAAAACTCCATTCCATAAATGGGTAAGGTTTATTTTTCTTCAGTACACCGTGTGAATGTTTTGACTGTGGTGTGTGTATTTGTGTAACATTATGATATTTTAATGAATGCAACCTGTAAAATATTGAGACATATTTGTTATATAGAACATTCTCCTGGAATGATTTTGGTGTCCATCTGATAATTTGTCAAATGTTTCAGGGTGATGTTTTGTGAGCTTTTGTGGATTCTGTGAATCAAGCTAGTGACAAATAATTACCAAGTTTGTGGAGTAGATTCCTGGCAGTGACCAGGTCGGGGTCATCCGGGGGAACGCCCAGCAGACGCATCACGGTGTAGTTTAGAGCACAGCCAAACACTGTTGGAGGACCCTCGATGTGGCTGGAATGGAGACGCTGATATTACTGGACAGTGTGTTTGGTTCTTGTGTAATGCCCCACACAGCAATGTGCCAGCTATCCGAGGGCAGTCGGTAAATAATCAAGTGTGAACCAGACAATCCTGTGACACAAGGCTACACAATTGGGACGCAGTGTTAGCAAGCCTGACAATCAGATGAGTCGCATCGTATGACCACCCTGTAATATGTCTACAGTAAGTCAGTCATTGAACTGTGTTCAGTAGCTAGCAAACCCCACCATAGATGTCTTGACATCATATGACGATCGCAAGAATACTCACAGTCCCCATCCGCCATCAGGACACAGGACAGACCGCAGGTAGCTAGCAAACCCCACCATAGATGTCTTGACATCATATGACGATCGCAAGAATACTCACAGTCCCCATCCGCCATCAGGACACAGGACAGACCGCAGGTAGCTAGCAAACCCCACCATAGATGTCTTGACATCATATGACGATCGCGAAGAATACTCACAGTCCCCATCCGCCATCAGGACACAGGACAGACCGCAGGTAGCTAGCAAACCCCACCATAGATGTCTTGACATCATATGACGATCGCAAGAATACTCACAGTCCCCATCCACCATCAGGACACAGGACAGACCGCAGGTAGCTAGCAAACCCCACCATAGATGTCTTGACATCATATGACGATCGCAAGAATACTCACAGTCCCCATCCGCCATCAGGACACAGGACAGACCGCAGGTAGCTAGCAAACCCCATCATAGATGTCTTGACATCATATGACGATCGCAAGAATACTCACCCAGCGGGCACACAACGTTGAATTAACGTTGAATCAACGTTGAATTTTGGTTGTTTGGTTGATCAACCTTTCATAAACGTTGATTCAACGTTTATCATGCGACCAAAGAAAGTTAGTCGAGATTCGTTTAGTTGTCAACGTTGTTTCAACGTAAGGAACCAACAAAATGTCAACTAATTGTTTCCTTGGCAAATTTGATACATAATTCATATTGGTAATAGGTATCCAACTTAACAACTATCATTTCGGAACATTATTTTCATAAAAGATCAAGATCGAGCTAGTGACAGATATAATCTTATATATTATTTGATTGTGCATCGATCAACGGACGGAAATATTACGTAAATCGCAGTTTTAGGTATAAAGTCATCAGTTATCCAAATTGCATTACATTTGATATTTTCCCACAAAACTGTGAAAATTGTATAATTCCGACAATTTGCTTTCAAACACAAGCCAGATGTTGACCTTTCGACGCCTCGCTTGGCCATATCCGACATAAAGACAATTATCGCCACAAGCAAAGGCAGCTGATCATTGTCAGTTCACATTGGCTAAGTTCAACGCAATATCGCTTCTATTTTCACCATCTTCACGGCATGCTGGTGTTTATTTGGTAAGTATGTCCTTCATGTATAATGAAAAACGAGGAATGCCGTTTAAATCTAGCAGTAGCAATCTAAACTCGAATTAGGGCTCATGTTTTATCTCACAAGGTTACCAGTATGTCACAGTACATGTTTCTCAAAATTTAGTGGAAGCCCGTGTTTTCCATGTATTTCTTTTGTTATTTTTCAATATATTTGCATGCATATATTTGGCATTTTACTATATAATCAATAAGATTTCCTTTTCGCACCCATCACCTGATTTGAATTTTGCAAATATACATTTTCAAATAATCAATGAAGTACATCAATATAAGGAACCGCTCATAATTAAATATATGGCTCGGTGGGGGTGTTGATTGTAAGGGTTGGAGGGTGGGTTGGGGTGTCACCCATTTTGTTCAGGGAGCTAAGGGGTCAGCATTTTTGTACACACGCACTATGTTTAGAAATTATGGGAAGGGGAGAGGGGGCCATAGATAATGTACATGACATGCAGGGTGGGCCGCTCTCTTATTCTGTACATACTCATACACTTTAGGGGTGGGGGTGGGTGTAATTCACATTGTACATAAAAATCAACATCACCCCAAAGCCATACATTATGAACGGTCCCTAAGGGCAGCTATACAAAATCGGAAAGGATTAATCAACATTTTATATTGCATCCCATTATTATGAACATTTGTTCGTTTGAATAGATCTATCAGTAAATGATGCATTGAGCACGCCCTGAACCCTGTCAACATATGTATATTATTGGGGGGAAGGGGTGGTGGAGAATGGTGTAAGGAATTGCAACGAAAATTTTCACTTTAAAATGTCTTGTGAAAGTCTTTGTTAAGGATGAAATTGTATATAATATATTTTAACTTTTATTTATTTACAAAAGTGTAACTTCACTAATGATTCTTTGATGGGACACCAAACGTTGCACCCACAGACTTTCATTCTTACACTTGTTTGGAAGGGATATGATAATTCATGTCTCTTAAAGGTTAAAATCTTACATACAACAGAAGTAATTTTAATGTAAGGAACATTTAATTATGAAATAAGATTATTTTAATGGAATTTGCAGAAATCTCATCTTCAAGACTGGGTGGCAGCAATTTTGTGGATCACATAAAAGGAGCAAGGCTAAGGTAACACGCTTTTTAACATTTCACTTGTTTCCAGTATATCCACCACAAAGTTTAAGAGAAAGATGATAATGCTCTTCATTACCACCTGTTTTGAATATTTGTGATAATGTTTGGTCTTTTTTGGTGATAATAGTTGGTCTTTATTTTCATTTATATATTAAGGTTGATCATTTAAGAGAAAAAATTGACAATGATTTCTCCCGGAGATGTTTAGTTTAATGAGCACTCCCTTGCTTGGCGCCATATTGTTTTATGACGTAAACAGCCGGATGCAAGATAGCACGGGAGAGGACAGAAGTCATACATTTATAGATATATAGAGATGTTTATTGCTGGGAAACACACTCTTCAGGTATTTGGTCAGCTGTAGAATTTGAATATGATGTCAAAGGGTAGGTTTTTCATTATTTGCAATCTATTATGTGTGCAGTGAAACATACTGAGATTTGGAAGAGTCCATTATTTAAAGTACAGGTGTTGTTAGATATCAGCATTTTATGTACATGTTCCCTTGTTAAGATCATCTATCGAGTATATTAGAGAGAAGGTGTATATTTGTAGTGTTTTAAATCAGAGTTATTTTCAGTGTATGACCTACATTTCAATATGTTTTGGCCACCTGTCACCCCTTTGGTCAAATAGAGGAGGACTTCCATTTCTTGGAATTGAGAGTCAGAGATGCACTGTTTCCAAGAATTTTATGTGTGCCAGCTGATGTTTGTTTACTTAGTACATTTAAGTCTTTTGAGTGTAGATTGGAGTTGTAAGAGATGTTATTCAATGTCTTATTATTCATGGTATGATAGATTATTTCTGGCAATGTAGAGTTTAATCTCATTATTTTATTGTTCATGATTCAGAGAAGCATAGTTATGACGTCGCAGATAATACGCACACATAATTCATTATATGAGAGATTTTCTAAGCCTTCCTATAAGAGATTAAGTGTAAACATTTATGAATTATAAAAAAGTTATTTATCTGAGTTTTATGAGTGTACAAATGACAAAGAGAGAGAGAGTAGATAATAGAGAATATATTGTATACTTATGAGAGCTCATTATTGTTTTCAGAACTCCATGATCCATACTTCCTTGTGTTTGGGAATAAATGGTGTTGGAAGACCTCCCACAATAAACTTGTTCTTTGACCTGTGAACCACCACCCATTTTGTTTTCTTATCATTTAATGTAAAATGGCTTTTGTTACAATTTATGACAAATTGCTACATCAGTACAACTCCTATTTAATTTGAAATAATCGTTTCCGAGAATCTCTAAAGAAAACTAAATCTGACAGAATAACAACAATCTTCCATTGTTTTGCAGGACAATGTCAAACAATTTGATGTCAAGAATGAATGTTGATGGGCAAAACGGCAAGTTTTCTTCTAAGAATTCAAGGTTGTATTCTATCATCTCTGGTAAGTTAATTACCAAGTGCAGCATTTTCATCATGACCATAGCAAATAACATATGACAGTAAAGCATCGTCTAATTCATCCTACCGGTAATTCATAGTCTAATTAAATAATCAACTTGCAATTGAGGATTTTCTTTGAAAATGTTTAAGAAAACTTCCATTCCTTCGGTTGAAAATATAAATTGTTTACACTTTTCGTCATATTTTGTATTGATGCTGTTCATATGTTCACATGCCAAGTTACAGCAGTGAAATGAACCTTTCAAGTGATTGATTAAACAAATACTTGAATCATTTAAGACAATATATCTTCCATATAACTTATTCATGTATTTAAATATAAAATTTCAGAATGTGTCCTATCTCAAGGGAATGAGATGGGAATGCATCCGAAGCAAATTTCAAGAAAGAGTTAGGAACGTTTCTGAAGTATCCACCTGACCGCCAGGCAGGGAGTGGCAGAAAGAAGAGGAGCTGATAATTGTGTTTTTGGAGTTGTAATTGTGTTGAAAAATCTGAACTGTGGTATTGAAATTGGTGGCGTAAATGTCACTTTGATGCTCTATGCAGATGATATTGTGTTATTAGCACAACAGAGATCACCTACAGACTATGTCATGTGTGATGTTTTACATTAAACCACACGTTTTCTGTGTGCGTGTGTGTTCATAAAGATTTCATGAAAAGTGACTTGTTTTATGTGCTGTCTTCAGGTATAGTTCCTGGTCATCTTGGATCCCTTTCATGGTGAAAGTAATTGCATTGTGTTTATTCAGGGGTCTGTCTAAGAGCTGAAATTCACACAAAATGTCTTCTCGGGACAATTTCCACCTTTTCAAGATAACAATACAACAGTAAATAGTTTTTCTTAATTTGGAATACTCTTTTCTTCTTACTGGAATTATACGTCCAACTGACATAAAACTTAAATGAACATTATATTGAATGTGGAATTTTAACCAAGTATTTTATCAGGTAAATATTTTACTGCAATTTTCTGTTTGAACACTGTTTATTGCAGGTAGCTTCTTGGGTATTTTAGCTGGATGCAGGAGTTTGGTGCTACTTTATTGTAGTTTAAAGATGAAGTGCGAGTCTATTTACAGGAAAGCATAATACCTCCCAGACACAACCACGAAACAACCCATTTTCAACGTTAATAAATATGTCAGACTTCAACATTGATTCCACGTCGGATATCTACGTCAAAAAAACTTTCATATACAGCCTATTTTCAATCTATTTTCAACGTTGAGGATCAACCTATTTTCAACGTTGATAATCGGTCAAACTTCAACGTTGATTCCATCGCCGGATATCTACGTAAAAAACTTTCATATACAACCTATTTTCAATCTATTTTCAACGTTGAGGATCAACCTTTTTTCAACGTTGATAATCGGTCAAACTTCAACGTTGATTCCACGTCGGATATCTACGTCAAAAAAACTTTCATATACAACCTATTTTCAATCTATTTTCAACGTTGAGGATCAACCTTTTTTCAACGTTGATAATCGGTCAAACTTCAACGTTGATTCCACGTCGGATATCTACGTCAAAAAAACTTTCATATACAACCTATTTTCAATCTATTTTCAACGTTGAGGATCAACCTTTTTTCAACGTTGATAATCGGTCAAACTTCAACGTTGATTCCACGTCGGATATCTACGTCAAAAAAACTTTCATATACAACCTATTTTCAATCTATTTTCAACGTTGAGGATCAACCTTTTTTCAACGTTGATAATCGGTCAAACTTCAACGTTGATTCCACGTCGGATATCTACGTCAAAAAAACTTTCATATACAACCTATTTTCAATCTATTTTCAACATTGAGGATCAACCTATTCTCAACGTTGAAACAACGTTGATGTGCCTGCTGGGCACAGTCCCCATCCGCCATCAGGACACAGGACAGACCGCAGGTAGCTAGCAAACCCCACCATAGATGTCTTGACATCATATGACGATCGCAAGAATACTCACAGTCCCCATCCGCCATCAGGACACAGGACAGACCGCAGGTAGCTAGCAAACCCCACCATAGATGTCTTGACATCATATGACGATCGCAAGAATACTCACAGTCCCCATCCGCCATCAGGACACAGGACAGACCGCAGGTAGCGGATCATCTCCAGCCGCTGCTGCTCCGTGAACGGCGTGTTGGTGATGTAGCAGGTGATCACTAAACCTGTAACATGCACAGGTCATCAGTTTACTGCACAGGTCATCAGTTTACTGCACAGGTCATTAGTTGACTGCATGGGTCGTCCGTTTACTGCATAGGTCAGTATACTGCATATGTCATCAGTTTACTGCACAAGTCGTCAAATTACTGCACAAGTCGTCAGTTTACTGCATAGGTCATCAGTTTCCTGAACAGGTCATCAGTTTCTTGAACAGGTCATCAGTTTACTGCACAGGTCATCAGTCTACTGCACAGGTCATTAGTTGACTGCATGGGTCATCTGTTTACTGCATAGGTCAGTATACTGCATATGTCATCAGTTTACTGCACAGGTCATCACATTACTGCACAAGTCGTCAGTTTACTGCATAGGTCATCAGTTTCCCGAACAGGTCATCAGTTTCTTGAACAGGTCATCAGTTTACTGCACAGGTCATCAGTCTACTGCACAGGTCGTTAGTTTACTGCACAGGTCATCAGTCTACTGCACAGGTCATTAGTTGACTGCATGGGTCGTCCGTTTACTGCATAGGTCAGTTTACTGCACAGCTCATCAGTTACTGCACAGGTCTTCAAATTACTGCACAAGTCGTCAGTTTACAGCACAGGTCATCAGTTTACTGCACAGGTCATCAGTTTACTGCACAGGTCATCAGTTTACTGCACAAGTCGTCAGTTTACTGCACAAGTCGTCAGTTTACTGCACAAGTCATCAGTTTACTGCACAGGTAATCAGTTTACTGCATAGGTCATCAGTTTACTGCACAGCTCATCAGTTTACTGCACAAGTCGTCAGTTTACTGCACAGGTCATCAGTTTACTGCACAGGTCATCAGTTTACTGCACAGCTCATCAGTTTACTGCATGGGTCGTCAGTTTACTGCACAGGTAATCAGTTTACTGCATAGGTCATCAGTTTACTGTACAGCTCATCAGTTTACTGCACAAGTCGTCAGTTTACTGCACAGGTAATCAGTTTACTGCACAGGTCATCAGTTTACTGCACAGCTCATCAGTTTACTGCATGGGTCGTCAGTTTACTGCACAGGTCATCAGTTTACTGCACAGCTAATCAGTTTACTGCATGGGTCGTCAGTTTACTGCACAGGTCATCAGTTTACTGCATAGGATGTCAGTTTACTCCACAAGTCATCAGTTGTGTCCTGTTGCCCTCCTGGCTGGTGAGTGAGTGGGTGACTCACATTAGTGTGTTGTGTCCTGTCACTACTAATGTGAGTTATCCACTCACTCTCCTGCCAAAAGGGCTCCATGAAGCAACACACTAATAGTCAGTCACCCAATCCATCACCAAGCATGAGGGCTCCAGGAAGCAACACACTAATGTGAGTTACCCACTCAAGTCACCTGGTTCAAGGGCTACATGACACAACAAACTAATGTGAGTCACCCACTCACTCACCTGCCAGGAGGGCAACAGGACACAACACTCTAATGTGAGTCACCCACTCACTCACCTGGCTCAAGGGCTACAGAAAACAACACACTAATGTGAGTCACCCACTCACTCACCTGGCATGAGGAAGAGGGGTCCCCCATAATCCCCCGCCCAGTGACCATCTTCCGCCTGTATTGCCGAGTAGAACTTGACCCCATTGTATGCCGACTGTTTCGCAGACTTAGCCTTGGGGAGGGACGGAGCCAAGTCAGTCTGAAAAGGAAAAGATACATAATGTAACAATATGGTGGCATTGCAATGTGATACATCTTACAAATGTAACAATATGGTGGCATTGCAATGTGATACATCTTACAAATGTAACAATATGGTGGCATTGCAATGTGATACATCTTACAAATGTAACAATATGGTGGCATTGCAATGTGATACATCTTACAAATGTAACAATATGGTGGCATTGCAATGTGATACATCTTACAAATGTAACAATATGGTGGCATTGCAATGTGATACATCTTACAAATGTAACAATATGGTGGCATTGCAATGTGATACATCTTACAAATGTAACAATATGGTGGCATTGCAATGTGATACATCTTACAAATGTAACAATATGGTGGCATTGCAATGTGATACATCTTACAAATGTAACAATATGGTGGCATTGCAATGTGATACATCTTACAAATGTAACAATATGGTGGCATTGCAATGTGATACATCTTACAAATGTAACAATATGGTGGCATTGCAATGTGATACATCTTATAAAATGTGATAACAATATGGTGGTATTGCAATGTGATACATCTTACAAATGTAACAATATGGTGGCATTGCAATGTGATACATCTTACAAATGTAACAATATGGTGGCATTGCAATGTGATACATCTTACAAATGTAACAATATGGTGGCATTGCAATGTGATACATCTTACAAATGTAACAATATGGTGGCATTGCAATGTGATACATCTTACAAATGTAACAATATGGTGGCATTGCAATGTGATACATCTTACAAATGTAACAATATGGTGGCATTGCAATGTGATACATCTTACAAATGTAACAATATGGTGGCATTGCAATGTGATACATCTTACAAATGTAACAATATGGTGGCATTGCAATGTGATACATCTTACAAATGTAACAATATGGTGGCATTGCAATGTGATACATCTTACAAATGTAACAATATGGTGGCATTGCAATGTGATACATCTTACAAATGTAACAATATGGTGGCATTAACATATGGTGCATTTGTGATAATGTGATACATCTTACAAATGTAACAATATGGTGGCATTGCAATGTGATACATCTTACAAATGTAACAATATGGTGGCATTGCAATGTGATACATCTTACAAATGTAACAATATGGTGGCATTGCAATGTGATACATCTTACAAATGTAACAATATGGTGGCATTGCAATGTGATACATCTTACAAATGTAACAATATGGTGGCATTGCAATGTGATACATCTTACAAATGTAACAATATGGTGGCATTGCAATGTGATACATCTTACAAATGTAACAATATGGTGGCATTGCAATGTGATACATCTTACAAATGTAACAATATGGTGGCATTGCAATGTGATACATCTTACAAATGTAACAATATGGTGGCATTGCAATGTGATACATCTTACAAATGTAACAATATGGTGGCATTGCAATGTGATACATCTTACAAATGTAACAATATGGTGGCATTGCAATGTGATACATCTTACAAATGTAACAATATGGTGGCATTGCAATGTGATACATCTTACAAATGTAACAATATGGTGGCATTGCAATGTGATACATCTTACAAATGTAACAATATGGTGGCATTGCAATGTGATACATCTTACAAATGTAACAATATGGTGGCATTGCAATGTGATACATCTTACAAATGTAACAATATGGTGGCATTGCAATGTGATACATCTTACAAATGATACATCTTACAAATGTAACAATATGGTGGCATTGCAATGTGATACATCTTACAAATGTAACAATATGGTGGCATTGCAATGTGATACATCTTACAAATGTAACAATATGGTGGCATTGCAATGTGATACATCTTACAAATGTAACAATATGGTGGCATTGCAATGTGATACATCTTACAAATGTAACAATATGGTGGCATTGCAATGTGATACATCCTACAAATGTAACAATATGGTGGCATTGCAATGTGATACATCCTACAAATGTAACAATATGGTGGCATTGCAATCTGATACATATCCTGCTACTAAACTTTGAATCCAATACAGTACTTATATATATTGAAGTACAGTATGGATGGCTTTGTACAATGATGGTCTGTATTGTAGGCCTCGTATAATGATGTATTGTTGCCGGGGACCTATGCTAAACCAGAATCCGCAAGGTGTAGACCAAGAGAGGTTGTAGGGGACCTATTCTAACCCAGAATCAACAAGGTGTGGACCAGCAGAGGTTGTAGGGGACCTATTCTAACCTAGAATCCCTAGCATGTGGACCAGCAGAGGTTGTAGGGTACCTATTCTAACCTAGAATCAACAAGGTGTGGAACAGCAGAGGTTTTAAGGGACCTATTCTAACCTAGAATCAACAAGGTGTGGAACAGCAGAGGTTTTTAATGGACCTATTCTAACCTAGAATAAACAAGGTGTGGACCAGAAGAGGTTTTAGGGGACCTATTCTAACCTAGAATCAACAAGGTGTGGAACAGCAGAGGTTGTAGGGGACCTATTCTAACCCAGAATCAACAAGGTGTGGAACAGCAGAGGTTTTAAGGGACCTATTCTAACCTAGAATCCCCAGCATGAGGACCAGCAGAGGTTGTAGGGTACCTATTCTAACCTAGAATCCACAAGGTGTTGACCAGCAGAGGTTGTAGGGTACTTATTCTAACCTAGAAACCACAAGGTGTGGACCAGAAGAGGTTGTAGGGGACCTATTCTAACCCAGAATCCCCAAGGTGTGGACCAGCAGAGGTTGTAGGGTACCTATTCTAACCTAGAATCCACAAGGTGTGGACCAGCAGAGGTTGTAGGGGACCTATTCTAACCAAGAATCCACAAGGTGTGGACCAGCAGAGGTTGTAGGGTACCTATTCTAACCTAGAATCCACAAGGTGTGGACCAGCAGAGGTTGTAGGGTACCTATTCTAACCTAGAATCAACAAGGTGTGGACCAGAAGAGGTTGTAGGGGACCTATTCTAACCCAGAATCCCCAAGGTGTGGACCAGCAGAGGTTGTAGGGTACCTATTCTAACCCAGAATCCACAAGGTGTGGACCAGCAGAGGTTGTAGGGGACCTATTCTAACCCAGAATCCACAAGGTGTGGACCAGCAGAGGTTGTAGGGGACCTATTCTAACCCAGAATCAACAAGGTGTGGAACAGCAGAGGTTTTAAGGGACCTATTCTAACCTAGAATCCCCAGCATGAGGACCAGCAGAGGTTGTAGGGTACCTATTCTAACCTAGAATCCACAAGGTGTGGACCAGCAGAGGTTGTAGGGTACCTATTCTAACCTAGAATCCACAAGGTGTGGACCAGAGGAGGTTGTAGGGGACCTATTCTAACCCAGAATCCCCAAGGTGTGGAGCAGCAGAGGTTGTAAGGTACCTATTCTAACCTAGAATCCACAAGGTGTGGACCAGCAGAGGTTGTAGGGGACCTATTCTAACCAAGAATCCACAAGGTGTGGAACAGCAGAGGTTTTAAGGGACCTATTCTAACCTAGAATCCCCAGCATGTGGAACAGCAGAGGTTTTAAGGGACCTATTCTAACCTAGAATCCACAAGGTGTGGACCAGCAGAGATTGTAGGGGACCTATTCTAACCTAGAATCCGCAAGGTGTGGACCAGCAGATGTTGTAAGGAACCTAATCTAACCTAGAATCCCCAAGGTGTGGACCAGCAGAGGTTGTAAGAGACCTATTCCAACCTAGAATCCACAAGGTGTGGACCAGCAGAGGTTGTAGGGGACCTATTCTAACCTAGAATCCCAAGGTGTGGACCAGCAGAGGTTGTAGGGGACCTATTCTAACCCTAGAATCCCCAAGGTGTGGACCAGCAGAGGTTGTAGGGGACCTATTCTAACCCAGAATCCACAAGGTGTGGACCAGCAGAGGTTGTAGGGTACCTATTCTAACCTAGAATCCACAAGGTGTGGACCAGCAGAGGTTGTAGGGGACCTATTCTAACCCAGAATCCACAAGGTGTGGACCAGCAGAGGTTGTAGGGGACCTATTCTATTCTAACCCAGAATCAACAAGGTGTGGACCAGCAGAGGTTGTAAGGGACCTATTCTAACCTAGAATCCCCAGCATGTGGACCAGCAGAGGTTGTAGGGTACCTATTCTAACCTAGAATCCACAAGGTGTGGACCAGCAGAGGTTGTAGGGTACCTATTCTAACCTAGAATCAAGGTGTGGACAAGCAGAGGTTGTGTGGACCAGAATCCACAGCATGTGACCAGCAGAGGTTGTAGGGGACCTATTCTAACCTAGAATCCCCAAGGTGTGGACCAGCAGAGGTTGTAGGGTACCTATTCTAACCTAGAATCCACAAGGTGTGGACCAGCAGAGGTTGTAGGGGACCTATTCTAACCAAGAATCCACAAGGTGTGGAACAGCAGAGGTTTTAAGGGACCTATTCTAACCTAGAATCCCCAGCATGTGGAACAGCAGAGGTTTTAAGGGACCTATTCTAACCTAGAATCCACAAGGTGTGGACCAGCAGAGATTGTAGGGGACCTATTCTAACCTAGAATCCGCAAGGTGTGGACCAGCAGATGTTGTAAGGAACCTAATCTAACCTAGAATCCCCAAGGTGTGGACCAGCAGAGGTTGTAAGAGACCTATTCCAACCTAGAATCCACAAGGTGTGGACCAGCAGAGGTTGTAAGGGGACATATTCTATACTAGAATCCCAAGCATGTGGACCAGCAGAGGTTGTAGGGGACCTATTCTAACCTAGAATGCACAAGGTGTGGATCAGCAGAGATTGTAGGGGACCTATTCTACACCCAGAATCCACAAGGTGTGGACCAGCAGAGGTTGTAAGGGACCTATTCTAACCCCAGAATCCCCAGCATGTGCACCAGTAGAGGTTGTAGGGGACCTATTCTAACCTGGAACCCACAAGGTGTGGATCAGCAGAGATTGTAGGGGACATATTCTACACCCAGAATCCACAAGGTGTGGACCAGCAGAGGTTGTAAG